GAAAGGAGAATTCCAAAGGAAAGGGGAATTAAGAGTGAGGGGAGGTGGGCGCCGGCCTTCTGCAGCTGCCTGGGTCTCCAGGCTTGCACAGTTCTCACGCTGGCTAGACAACAACTTTCAACTTGACCTTGGCCTCCAGCCGTGTCTGACCCGTATGTAAAGCCGCCTGCAAGTCCCCAGGAACTAGGGCCTTGGACCCTACTCTGTCTCTTTGTCACCGTGAGTTTTACAATGCCACTTGGAGGGAGGAGGGGAGGTGGTAAAAGGGCCAGAAAGTAACACAAAAATCAAGTTCCTACAGAGGCTGGTTCCTTAGTCTGCAAATGGCCAGTGGAAGAGAAGGTAAACTGGGGGGCAAATCAATATTTACCCAAAACTGCTAAAAAGTCAAGAGGGAAAGGGCACGCTGGGTGTGTGGGGGGAGGCGGAAGGGGGGCAGTCATAGACGGTTTTATTGGGCGATACTTACATTGGTCAGGGCAAACCCAGGGTCTGGGCAGATAAAAGCCCAAGCCCAGCCACATCGGTCCGACCCTGCAGGAAGCCCAGGGGCCTCGGAGAGCAGAAGAGATAGGTGTGGGTGGGGGTGGTGTACACACTGCCCTGAGTTAAGCTGAGTCTGCAGGCTCTGACAGATGGCAGGTCCAAGTCTGGCTGCTCCCAGTCGACCCAGAGTGGAAGGGAGTTCATTCTGCCCTGCCGTGATGTTCGGGAATCCTCCCACTTTCACTTTGAATCCTTTTCCCTTCTGGGTATCTGACCAGCTCACAGACATGTAATCAGAAATAGAAGTCCATGGCCCCAAAGTGGTAGGACCCCCAGAAACTCTCTCAAAACACGGCAACTTCAAGAATTGTTGCCGCTTGGCTCTTCTAGCACCAACGTCTCAGGGTGCTCCCAGCAAGGGTCACGCTTCCCAGGCACGGAGGAAAGACATCTCAGGCCAGTTCTTGAGCAGGGAAGGACGGAGGACTCTCCACAGGCCAAAGACCCTACTTGAGGGGAAGCCGTAATGTGGTCCTCCCCCAAAAGTCCCTTTCTCCTGTCCCAAAACTGAGTGAATTGGTGGGTTCCCAGGTGCCACAGAGGTCTGGCTCGAGCTCTATGAAGCTGGGGGTGTTAGGCCCCAGAAGGAAGATTCCAGCCCGCCTGCAGCTCAACCGGGGCCTGTTTTCTTTAAGCCCTTTCTAGGGTAAGCTAGCCTGGCTGACTGTGGGAGCACCGGGGAATGGCCACTTGGAGCACTCTCTCTGTCTCAAGACTGAGAATGAAGGGTTGTTACTGGGTCAGAGGGAGGAATTAGGAATGGGCTGTACAACGAAGCATGAACGCGAGTGTGCGCATCAGTGTATACGCTAGTGTGTGCATGTGTCATTGTGGGGTGTGATGAGTTCTTACGAGCCTATGGGCTAAATGCAAGTATATGAAATTATCCACTAACACGGTGGACAGAGAAAGTAAGGGAGCTCGTCAATGCATTTCAGGTTCTGCAGTGGCAGGTCCTGGGACCCAGGAACCAGGCATGTCCGCGGAACCGACATGCAGCAAACGCTCTGCCACTGATCTCCTGCAAAGAGAGCCAAGCCGCGACGCTGTGGGAGCGGGAATAGGGGGGTGGGGGTGGTGTACACACTGCCCTGAGTTAAGCTGAGTCTGCAGGCTCTGACAGATGGCAGGTCCAAGTCTGGCTGCTCCCAGTCGACCCAGAGTGGAAGGGAGTTCATTCTGCCCTGCCGTGATGTTCGGGAATCCTCCCACTTTCACTTTGAATCCTTTTCCCTTCTGGGTATCTGACCAGCTCACAGACATGTAATCAGAAATAGAAGTCCATGGCCCCAAAGTGGTAGGACCCCCAGAAACTCTCTCAAAACACGGCAACTTCAAGAATTGTTGCCGCTTGGCTCTTCTAGCACCAACGTCTCAGGGTGCTCCCAGCAAGGGTCACGCTTCCCAGGCACGGAGGAAAGACATCTCAGGCCAGTTCTTGAGCAGGGAAGGACGGAGGACTCTCCACAGGCCAAAGACCCTACTTGAGGGGAAGCCGTAATGTGGTCCTCCCCCAAAAGTCCCTTTCTCCTGTCCCAAAACTGAGTGAATTGGTGGGTTCCCAGGTGCCACAGAGGTCTGGCTCGAGCTCTATGAAGCTGGGGGTGTTAGGCCCCAGAAGGAAGATTCCAGCCCGCCTGCAGCTCAACCGGGGCCTGTTTTCTTTAAGCCCTTTCTAGGGTAAGCTAGCCTGGCTGACTGTGGGAGCACCGGGGAATGGCCACTTGGAGCACTCTCTCTGTCTCAAGACTGAGAATGAAGGGTTGTTACTGGGTCAGAGGGAGGAATTAGGAATGGGCTGTACAACGAAGCATGAACGCGAGTGTGCGCATCAGTGTATACGCTAGTGTGTGCATGTGTCATTGTGGGGTGTGATGAGTTCTTACGAGCCTATGGGCTAAATGCAAGTATATGAAATTATCCACTAACACGGTGGACAGAGAAAGTAAGGGAGCTCGTCAATGCATTTCAGGTTCTGCAGTGGCAGGTCCTGGGACCCAGGAACCAGGCATGTCCGCGGAACCGACATGCAGCAAACGCTCTGCCACTGATCTCCTGCAAAGAGAGCCAAGCCGCGACGCTGTGGGAGCCGAAATAGGCGATGTCTGTCACAGGGCTTCACTGCCGAAAGGACTCATGGCTACCTGGAAAGAAAACAGTCTGGAGGCCCCAAGAAGCACCCAGTCTGGGCTAGAATTGTCCCATCTTCGCCACTGTCCCATCCCTGGCCGCCAGCAGATTTACCTGACCTGTCCCGACCGCCTCATGGCTCAACCCAACAGCGTACTCACATCCCTCCCCACCTCGTTGCGCTGCTCTGGGCTCCGTGGGCTAGGG